TGACCTAGCTGCTATTTAACTCTATGAGAGCTGCCTTTTGACTAAGTGATAGGACTGCGATCTTTTCCTCGGAGCCCCGGAGAAAAAGGGAGGGAAATCAGAGAGCATAAGAAAGAGATGGGGTGGTTATTGGAAAGACAAAGCACTCAGCCCCATGTGATGTCAAAAGTTGCACAAGGAGAAGATTCAGTTTTAGCTGTGAATTTTGAACATCCCATCTCCAACAATACCGCTGATTAAGGAGAGTGGAGGCCAACAATCCACTCCAAATGCAGCAAAATTTCAACAGAGGCAGATGCATTGATAACACTGACATTCCATGGTACGATTTCTTTGTAAGGTCTTGACTGACCCAGGAGGTAAATTGGCCTCTTTGCCGCTGCATCTACAGTAGAATTAAGCTTGGCATAAGAATCAGAAGATTAGGGCCGGGTGGTGGTGGTGCACTTCTTTGAGCCCAGCACTTGGGAGGTAGAGGCAGGCAGATCTCAGTGAGTATGAGGCCAGTCTGTTCTACAAAGTGAGCTCTAGGACAACCAGGACTGTTACACAGAGAAACCCTGTCTTGAAACACCAAAATAAATAAATAAACAAACAAATAAATGAATGAATCAGAAGATTAGTTTCAACAATGTGGATGCCTAAACAAGACTTGCATAATGACATCACCAGGAACAAGGCCCCACCCCTAAGTGAAGAGCTCCCTGCAGTTAATGGCTGCTGAGATGGGGAGAAGCAGTCTTCTCCAGAGATAAGTCCTCTGATATTGTCCAATCCAGTGACATATGCACAATAGCAAAATGGACTCAGTGATGTGTGCATGCATGTGTGGGTGTTGATGCATGTTTATATATGTAACAATAATACAGAAGAGGTAATACATTTGAGGAGGTGTTTTGGGGGCACTGGAAGAGTTGGAGGGGGAAGAGAGAGGGGTGGAAATGGTGTAAATATAGTACTCACATCTGAAATTAAGAAAAATTAAGTTAGAGAAAAAAGAATGGGAAGACCTCTATTTCGGTTTGATGCTCCATGATCTTCTATGCTCTGATTTTCTGCCGTCAAATAAGGATTTCACCTCAGTTCACCAGGAATTTATTGTGGAAACCCAGCTCGCAGGCCGGTCGAAAGGAACACAGATGTAAATGTCGTGGAAATACTGCAAAGTGCTCTAAGACTTAGAAATTAGCATTTTAATTTTAGTGACCTATTTTTCAAACTCAAATTGGACCACATAGTATGAGAGAGGATTTTTGTGCCTCTTCCAAAGACAAGAAAACAGTCTGCAGAATATAATTCAGTTGCCAAAACATTGCAGTTTTGGCCCATTTTGGTGGTTCCTGAGAGCAACGATAAAGTATTTGAAATAAGGACTGCTCAGTAGAGTTTATGCTTGTGTGGTCACCATCGTTCTGGCATTTATTTGCAAAAACTGCTTTGTTTTTCCACATAAGTAGAAGTTCCATGATTTCATATAATTCTAAAGCTAGGAGGGACTTCTAAAGCAAATTTTATTCTATGTGTAAGAGTGTTTTGCATACATGTATGTCTGTGCGCCACATGTGTGCCTGGTACCTTTGGAGGCCAGAAGAGGGCGTCCGAGTCCCAGGCATTGGTACAACCGATGGTTTCTGGTTGCTATGTAGATGCTGGGAGTTGAGCTTGGGTCCTTTGAAGGAGCAGTGGGAACTCTTACTGTGGAGACATTTCCTGCCTTAGGTCTTCAGGAGAAATGTTGCTTGAAGGGTTGAGGAAGTACCTTACATAGCCCCAGTACAGCAGCACCTAGCCCCTCTTATCAAGAAGTGTTGTTGCCTTTGCTTCCGTCTTGCCCATCTCCCTTTAAACAAACGAGCAAGAAACAACATAAGAAAGGACTACTTTTTCAATTAAAAAGATTGCTTTTTAAAGAACAATACTATAAGAATGCTGGAACGTGAAGCAAGGTGGGACTTTAATCTTAGCACTCAGTGGCAGATCTCTGTGAGTTTGAGGTTAACCTGGTCTACACAGTAAGGCCCATGCCAGTAGAGCTTCACAGAGAAACCCTGTTTTTGTTTTTTGTTTGTTTGTTTGTTTATTTACAGCTGAAGTAAGAGTTATTGGAATTCTCTGCAAGAAAGGGTTGAAAGCATGTCTAGGCCATAAACGTTTCATAATTTACATCACCTGGAGTGTTAGGTGACAATGGCAAAAATCGCGTTCCTTTACTTTGGTTTGCAATGTAATGAGTCCATATGCTGTCTAGCATATTACCCTCTATCTAGAAACTTAAGCTATTAAATGTTTTATGCCTTGAGGATATTTGGCTTCTTAACTCAATAGTGGGTATGGGAGAGTTTATAGTCTATCTCTTTTTGGTTTTAATTTTATTATTTAGTTTTATGTGAATGGGTGTTTAGCCTGCATGAATGTCTTGGTCCCATGTGTGTGCAGGACCCATAGGGGTCAGAAGAGAGCATTCGGATCCCCCTAGAACTAGAGATACTGACAGTTGTGAGCGGCTTTGTGGGTGCTAGGTATTGAACCTGAGTCCTCTGGAAGAGCAGCCGGTGCTCTTAACTGCTGAGCCATTTTTCTAGCCTCTCTATTTCGTATGTATGTATGTATGTATGTATGTATGCATTTATGTATGTATATGTGTGTGTTCATGTGTGCATATTCAATTTCTCTCTTTTACTATGTTCCTTCCTTCTCAAATGGTTTGAGATTTATCACTTGAGCTCCTATACGCCTGTTGTTTCCTGCCCCTGCACTCATATATCAGAACAATTTGGCATTTATTTTCATTTTCAGTGACAAGAAAAGGAACCTTTTGTAGTTACTTCCCTGACATTTATAGTAACTTGAAAATCATGGAATAGATCAAATTCATATTGACTATTTCATGATGGCTCTGAGTTTTCAACAGAAAACATAAATAAAACTGAGTTTTTGTTTTTGTTAAAATGTCCAAATAATATGACTTTGGTGTCAATAATCCAGTTGAGGTTTCAGTTTTTATCGATGTCTGAAAATTCTGCTTGGATCTCTCAGATTGGCTCTGGAAGGATGAATGAATGGATTTGCAGCTGGACTAAAACAAACAAATCTATCTCCTCAGCTGGGAGGTTGATGCATGAGTTATGCATCTGTAGCCTTTGTGTGACTTCAGAACGTAGAAACAGTGGAGAAAGTAGTGTCTTGCAAGTAGGGTACCACGAGCCTTCAGACTGAACTAGGAAAGGGTGCACCAAACCAGATGTAGTAGCTGGGCGTGACTACGCAGAAGAACATCCATCTTCCTGGCACAGTTCTCCCAGAGATTGGGGCAAGCAGCAAACAGCCCCACAGGATTGCTTGAGCCTGGCTTTTAATACTGTTGGGGACAGATTTTGATGCAAGGCAAGAATCAGCTTCAGAGATTTCTGCTGCCAGACCTCTGGTGGAGGACCTGTGTGTGTGTGTGCTAAGATACTGTCATTTTGGGGTTCGTGAAAGAAACGGGTCTTAGGGAAGAGCACCATCTCATTAAAGAAATCTCCTTTGATTAAATGGAACAGCACTTAGCCCAGTTTTCCTCAGTGGTATTCCTGAAGCTGCTACGCTTAGTATTCATAGTGAGCATATCGCCTTTGTGCGTTCATGGGAAGAATGTCTATTTCATGTGGACATGGCCATCCATCAGAGAGTAAATGCCCCACTAAAGTTTGATATGGCTGGCTGTTAGCCATGAGGATGGTGACACTAAATCAATCTGGCTATTTTTTTTAATTGCTGGTGTACTAAAGCATCATAGTTGCATCTTAGAACTTAAGTGGGTACTAAGGGGAAAAGTGTAGCATCCCGTGGGTGGTTTGAAATGCCAGGTTTATTTCTTTGGGCTCAACACTGTAATATCTTTTATGGAACTCTTCTGAGATCTGAAGTCAGAGCATTTAGGAAAACCTGAAACACATGTTGAGGGTTCCCACACTCAGACTCAGCCTTGGTGCTTCACTTTGGTATATAAATTATATTCCCCAGTGGAATTCAGAAATGACATTATCTAAGAAGAGTAATACAAGGTTCTCTGAGCTACAGAGGAGTCAGGATATGTAGTTATCTTAGTTCAGAGTAGAAGGCTTGTGGCTGCTTGAGGGCTGCTTAAGTATAAAGAGCAGTAGCGCAGAGCCCCACATTTTGTCTCTGGATCTAGCAATTGATAAATGGATAGACACAGGCACTTGGCATAAGTATTGAATCTGTAAACCATGCCCACTGTTTACAAACTTGCATATCTCTGATAACAGCAGTGACATCGTACAGTCGCATATTAGCTTATAGTTGATAAAGTAATTTTATCCAAAATCTAGCTGACTTCAAGTTCGTTGGCATTTTCATGTCACTTATCAGAAGACATAGTGACCTTTGGTTTCACAGAGAATGAATCTGTCACTAGCACAATCTGTAAAACAAAGTATCCATCAAGTTAACAAATACCTTGGCAAAAGGAAAATTGTAAGGAGGGACCCTTGAAATCTAGTCAGTTCTTTTGGTATGGTACTGACTGACAGTTGAGAAATTATGTTTCTGTTGAGACTGTTTTATTTGCAGTAAGAGGCACATTAAGTAACAACACCGAGTCAGAAAGCAATTCTAATTTAAATTAATTAGAACTAGGAAAAGCTCATTTTTATTTTCAAAATCTTTTCTTATTTCCTTTGCATGCTTCCTTTCAATATTTTTGTATTCCTGCAGAACTTAAACTGCTAAAGAACGACTTCCTATTCGTAGATGAAATGGACAAGCACCTTTTTCTTGTCTTTAAACTGCCACTGTCGGAAGGCCTGTCCTAACTGGATGAGTCATTCTGCGATTTAAATGCATTACAGCCTTGAACATGATTGAAAAGTGAACAGTCCTCTAGGGGAAGTGGGGCTGGCATGAAATGGGATGCGGCTAACAGAATTTAACTTGTACATTCTTTCCAAATAATTATTGATTACGGAACTGAGTAGCAGCTTCTGCTTTTCTTTCAGAACTTTGCAGAGAACACCATGAATGAACTTCTGGGCTGGTACGGCTATGACAAAGTTGAATTAAAAGACGGTGACGACATTGAGTTCAGGAGCTACCCTACTGATGGGGAGAGCCGGCAGCATATTTCTGTTCTCAAAGGTAAAGGCTCTTTGCTCACGCAAAGGAGAATGAACTGTCTCCCCCTGCCAGAGTGGAATTGCTGTGGGTCTCCCTTGGTTGTCATGCACACATGCAACTTAAACCTCAGCTCCTCACACTCTGGGCTGTGACCCATATGGGACCGAGGAACTGAATGTGGGACTTGTGCAAACTTTGGCAACGGTAAAAGGTTTCTGAAGCTATAGTGGCCCCGAATTCACGCAAATCAATGTGTCATGCGTCTGAGGTGTTGCTGGCAGCGCGGTGCGTGCATGTGATGCATCACGCGACTTCTCCGCCGCCTTGGTTCTGAACACGCATGCCCCGTGCAGGCTGTCATGTCGTAACAGCGACAACAGATGCCTCCTGAAACACCTTAGTTCAGATGCAAGAGTATAGTCTGTTGTGAGTTGCAGTGTTCCTACCATAAATACAAAGTTCTCTGCTCTTGGAGAAATATCGTTGTTTAATTTTGGAAAGCAAAATCTTTTTTCTTCTTTACTATCCACACATTTTTCTCATTTATTGCATGCAACAATCAAGTAGAATTATATAAATTTTCAGAGACAATGACCAACTCTCAAACCAAGTCACAGGGCAGAAGTAGCAGAGAAGTTATTCAGATCCATCTTTTGATCTCTAAATTCTTTCCTGCTGCCCCTCTCTGTGGTTCAGAATGCACTGAATGGAAAGCAAAATCTTAATATTTCTAATGTTACTCCTCAGTGTTTAAGTGCCAAATTAGTATAGTTTTGGATTTATTGTCTTGGAATATTTGGCTTTTAAAAAATATTTATTTTTTTTAACATACCAATCCCAGTTCCCCTCCCTCTTCTCTTCCTGCTCCTACCACCCCGCTCCCCATATGCTTCTCAGAGAGGCTAAGGCCTCCCCTGGGAAGTCAGCTAAGCCTGTCTCATCACCTCGCTGAGGCAGGACCAAGGTCTCCCCTCCCAGTGCCTCCGTTGAGCAAGGTATCGCTCCATCGAGAATGGGCCCCACAAAGCCAGATCCTGGATGAGAGTTAGATTATGGTCCCCCCTGCCAGTGGCTCTGTATACTGCCCACACCACACCATTGTCACCTGCAGAATGGGGGCCGAGTTTGGTCCTATGCAGATTCCCCAGTTGTTAGCTAGTCCGAATTGGTGAGTTCCCACTAGGTCTAGTCAGCTAATTCTGTGGGTTTCCTCACCGTGGTCCTGACCCCTTTGTTCGATTATCACGCCTCCCTCTCTTTGATTGTGCTCCCGGAGCTCAGCCTGGTGGTGAGTTGTGGATCTCTGCATCTGCTTCCATCTGTTTCTGGATGAGGGTTCTAGCTTTTTAAAAATGGCATCTGCGTAGCTGACTTGAATTGCATTTTTTTTAAAAAAAATCATTAAATGAATTTTGGATTGGGATTAGGACAGAATTTCCAATAATTTCCAAAATGACTGTAAACATGCCCCTGCCGTTCTGTCCTATGCATTCTGTGCAGTGGGGTTCCTGGCATTGATTACAAGTCAAAATATAGATCAACACTGAGAAATGTTGATGATGTTCGGTGTCACATTGTATCAGACACTTCAGCCAAGATTTACTTCCCTATGTAAAATTGCACAAGTACATCCGTCTCATTAATATACACACTTGCTTTCATCTTTAATAAATGGCAAAATTGCATGTACAATGATACAGGGATTGTTTTAAGATAATTTCTTCATGATGTGTTATCAGCAAATGTCTGATTTGTGTACATATTTTACATACTATACCCTTCGCGTTGTGTAGAAATTCCTTGGGTGAAAGGGAGCTGGGGGCGGGAAGGTTCCAGAAGAGTCGCTTTAGGTGTATTCCCAGTTGTGCTTTCCTGTAAGCAGAGTTCCACAGAACACCAGAGCTCAACAGAAAACAAAAATAGACACAGCTCTGCGTCCTTCCAGCCATGGGAAGACAGGCCAGGACCGAGGACCTTAGGGCTGCAGTCCTGCCGTAAGTCAGAGAAGCAGTGCTTGCTAACTTGGAGCTCCATTGTCCCTTTGATGCATCATCAGTGCTGGGGGCTGGGGCTTTCTGGGAAGCTCAATGCCAGGCTTTATATGTTCAGATGGGGGGGGGGCGTTCTCTGTTGTCTTGTGAGCCCCCCTTCCTTGCATTTGGATGGGAATTCTAAAAGAGAGCCTTATTTTCATTCTGTGTGTCGGCTTCCCTCTCTTGCTGCCTCACGCTCTTGCAGAGGGTCAAGAGCAGAACTAGCTGTAGATGGTTAGATCAAAGTCCAGCTAGCGCGTGGCAGGTGCCGAGGAATGGCAGAGCAGAATTTACACGGATTCTGAGTGGGCAGCAGTGCCGAGCCTAAGTGGGAAGCCTGTGTGACTCCAGAATTAGGAAACCTAAATTTGGAAAGCGAGTCTGTGGATAAGATAAAAGAGGAAGGACGTGTGAAGAAATTTTGGTAAAATGTGGGTACAACTAACTGTTCTTTGTCGCTGGCTCTTGGCTCAGTGTTTATGTTGCATCAAAATCTATTGGCAAAATACCTGTTCAAATACCTCATTCCCCGTCTTTAAGAAAGCGCTCTTCTTCTTATATGCCAATGAACTGTAAATGAGCCGTGCTGTAGGCATGTGGAATTGAATCTTCATGACAAATTTTATGTTAAGCTTGCTATGAAATTGTGCACATCATGTTATGAAGATAGTATCATCAATTTTGCTGCAAATGAAAAAATGCAAGTCCTGCGCTTATATTCTATAAACTAATAGCCTCAGTAGTCCTTCGCCTGGGTGATTGTCTGTCTCTGGGGAACATGGGAAGAGTCCCATGCTTCTCATGGTTGACGTTCTCTCTTTCTCTCCCACCCCTCCCTCCCCTCTTTCTCTGTGTGATACAAGGATATCTGTGTGCAAATTTTATTTCCATTTTTGTTAATTTTAATGGATATTACCAATACCCAGTGCAATAGTAGTTTTTGTTGTATTTTGATGTAATCGTTTGGTTCAGTTGACTATACCATGGTTTAGGTTTATAATGCAGTGGCACAGAGCTACCGTTCTGGGATACATTCTAGGCTTCCCCCATGGCCAGGGAGTGATGCTTGCTATATATCCCTTTGTTCGTAGAAAAGGTTAATTGCCTCTCCATTTTCTATGGGATTTTACAGTGCTAAAATTCATCACGAAGGTTCAGCTGGGATATTAACTATCATAGTGGAGCAAATTATAAAGAAAAGCCCTTTGGAAATTGCTGGTAGCAAAACTATAAAGCTTCAGGATGGATTGTGGAGCTCTGGGAAATTGCTTCAAGGTTTGCAAGGGAAATTTTGTTCTGTTACATAACCGATGTACTTAAAGAAATGAGGAAAAAAAAATTTAAGTCTAATGAATAAGTTCTTGGTTATATTGAATGATTTTTTTTCTCTTACAGAAAATTCCTTGCCAAAACCAAAATTACCAGAGGACAGTGTTATTTCATCATTCAATATAAGCGCGGGCTATTCAGGCCTTGCCACTGGGAATGGACTCAGTGACTCACCTGCAGGGTCAAAGGACCATGGCAATGTGCCCATTATTGTACCTTTAATCCCACCACCTTTTATAAAGCCGCCAGCAGGTAAGCACTATTGGGATTCCCAACTCCAACAGTCTGTATGCAATCGTTTTCGCTGTCTTAGACAGTTTATTAAAAACTCAACTTAAATGAATATGGCTTGATGAATGTTATAGATAAGTGTTAGTTCACATATTGCTTAATGTATTATTGCTATTATCCCTAAAATTTCCTTATCTGTTTCCGCTTGGGCTGTAGCGTTCAACTGACTCCAGACCTTTTCTCCACCAGACTCAGAAAAAGATACTTTCCTTCTCTGTAGTCACTTACTTTGGTTCTTTTTTTGTTTTCTTTAGAATAAGATATATACAATGACTGGCTAGCAAAATGTACACATGATTGAACAGGCTGGTGCATAAGGAGGGCCAGGCCTTTGGGGTTTTCTGAGGAAAGGGACAGTTTTGGAAGAAGATGTGTGGCAGACACGTTCCTGCACGTGCCTTCCTCTAAATCCATTCAAGAAGCCAATTGTAGTATGCATCGTCTCCACAGAGCCCTCTCCAATTCCTGGAAAGCTGTCTCTGAGCTCTTACAAGGACGGAAATCTGAGTTCCACTTGCATGAAAATATAATTGGTTGTTTTATGTTTCCAGAAAATTAGGTGACTGTGCATTCAGTCTTGGTGGTGGAGGGCAGAGCTGATGGTGTTCTCTGTAGCTTCCAGACGTAGTTCACGCAAATACCCAGGAAAACTCTGGCCTGCTGTAAAAGGGTGGAATCTTGCTAGAATGCTTTACTTTTATTGCTAGTTATTTGTGTGTGTGTCAAATTGAACATTGACAAATACTGAGTTATAATAGCAGTATTTATTGTAACGTGCTAACATTAATGCTTGTGTTCATATTTGAGAGGATAGATGTTTGATTATGCTTCCATAAACAGCGAGGGCATTTCCAGTACAGATTCCTCAGCTTGAGTTACAGTGTATTTATACATTGTCTTAAGTATTCCTTTATCGCTTTGACCACATTGTCTTGTTGGCCTACTATATTTTAACAAGTCAAACTGATCTATCATACAGAGGCCATTAGTTATGGTATTAAATTAAGACTCATTTGTTATTAAACTCATTGTTAGTGCTAACTACTGACCTAATTGGCGAATCATGCAATATTTCCCTTATTGGTGATCTTATTTTCCTTTGGTTGATTGTTTTAATGATACAGAGGGACCAGAGTTTATAAGGACCAGAGACATATTTTGCGTAGGCTACTTGGCAAGAAAAGAGTAGGTAATTTTGTAGATGTAGCGCTCCCAACCGAATGAATATTCTGTGGCTTAGATGAGGGCTTCAAGGGTGTTAATTAGTGGGTGTGACAACGTAGCCGGAACACAGGCTTCAGCCTGAGAAAACCTGGGTTTCAATCCAGGCTTTGTCCCTCAGCAGCACTGTGAAAGAGGACAGGTTCTGCCCGCGTGGCTCCTTTCAGTCCCTCATTTATAGCCTGGGCTCACAGTCCTACCTCCTGGAGTTGGGGAGATGAGGGTGTCCTAGGATAGCTACCACAGGAGAGCTAGGTAGCCAACAGGGTGCCTCTTTTTCTTTTTTTTCTTTTTGAGCCCTAATCTGTACTAGAGTCTTCTTGCACATCATTGGTGCATAGGAAGGTGTGTATCCAGACATAAATCCGTCCCCAAGATTTATTTGAACAAAGAAAATGGCTTGAGAAATTAGCATAGGCCCAGGCGAGTGAGGCCAGAGAACCTGCTCTGAAGTTTCCTGTGGAGCCAGCCACGTGGAATTCAAGCACACAGCTTCTATTTAACTCTAATTCCACATCAGATCAGGAAATAAATATGCAAAAGGAGAGAGGCCAAAAACCGAGCCTTGGAAGTCATAGCCGGAGGAACTCTGAGGAATTAGAAGCCAGGGTAACCAAACCCCAGTGGTTTTTCTGCTGTCTGCTGTGGAACTCCAAGGCACTCATCTGTGGAAAACAAAATGTAGGGACGGACGTCTCTCCTTTTCTGTGTCCGTTCTACCCTGTGGCTGCCTCGATGAGACCCCGAATGTTCTCCACCTTCTAGCTCTCACCAAGCAAAAACTCACCCAAAGAGAGGACTGTTGATTTCCTAAACTAGGGCTAGGCTAGTAGACCTGGCTTGTGGAGAGCCTGGCAGGACTGTAGACTTTGTGGGTCACACTGTCTCTCACAGCTACCCAGGACATTGCTGCCTTAGGAGGAATGCAACCTTAGATGATGCATGCATCAAGGAGTGTGGCTGTGTTCCAACAAAACCCTATTTACCAAAAAAAAAAAAAAAATGAAACTTAAACCATGTGGTGGGCAGGACTTTGGCTGAATGTCACGCTAGGCAGGACAGGATTAGTGAGTCTCGCGGTAGCTGCGAGCTGAGCAGGCCTTCAGAGTCAGGCTGTGCATGTGGCAGGTGTTCTGGAATATTGTAAGATGTGACGGGGCAGGGAAGCAACGCTTTTCCTGTGCTCGCAAAGTGGTCTACTCTAGTGTTCGCTGAGTGAATTTTTTTAAAATCAAATTTGTGTGTGTGATGATGTGTGTCCAGCGTGTGCGACGGTGAAGGGTCAAAGGACATCTTTGTGAAGCTGGCTCTCTCTTTCCACCTGTGTGGATTCTGGGGCTCAAACTTAGGTCACGATCCTCCCGCGGCAAACACTTCACCTGCTGAGCCATCTCCTTGGGCCTCATCCTCGTTCTTTTATTTAATGCAACTTTTAGAGAAATTCTGAGAAATAGCGTGTTGGGTGTCATGAAAGGCATGAAGTTCAAGCAGGTTAAATAACTCCCTTGGATCATGTATCTTCTAAGTCCTTAGGGTCTCCTGACTCCCAATCCAACATTCTTTTTCATAGAAAGTAGCCATTTCATTTCACACTGTTTCAGAATAGCAATGCTTATCAACATGCCATTACTTCTAGGTTCCCCAGTGGCAGGAGATACAGCTTCCTCCTGCAAGCCCATTCTAGAAGTCCCTATGTTTAGGAGAGACTTGACTCCTTCACTGTCCTTGAGGATCTGGGGGCCTATGAGTCCCATGGTCATTGAGAGGAACATCCGAGCTTTCAAGGGCTGCCCTCTGAGGCACTTACACCTCTTCCGGATGTGAGAGACTGTGTCTGGGCATGCGCTGGTTCTCAGCCCGCTCATGAGCTCGGGCAGGCTCACCACTGGATCCCACTCACGTCTTGGCAGCCAGGGAACCCAGTGGAATGCTTGTGACTGGGAACACAGAGATACCACATTCACTTGGATTTCCACTCCCTTTGCACAGCTGCATACAAGAAGTGTGGGTGAGCTCACTTCTGGGCCCGGGAACTGCTCTTCTGGTCCTGCCCCACCCCTTCCTTTTCTCTGAAGGAGGGAATCTCCCCGTGTTCCTGTGATTACCTGGTATCGACCCTGCTTTGGCCTCACAGGCTTGTGCCCATTTTCCAAAGCTCAGCTGCCCTTCCCCCTCAGAGACAGCTTCTGGCCCTGGGTGTAGCATTTGTGACATCACAGGCGTTACTATGGTAATAGACTTGTTATAAACACAGGATAATAGCCCTGCTTTTGCTTTTCTTTATTCCCCCATGCAGTGAAGGGAATCACCGTGATCCTTAAATAATAATCACGGATGTTGCTGCAGCGTCTAGGACGGGAACGGAGTGAGGCTGCGGTGCTGCCGTTTAGACACTGTTAGAGCGATATTAGAAAATGTTACAGAGCACCTACCCAGGCTTCTTACGCCAACACGTCTTTATCCTTTTCATTTCAATAGATTTACAAACCTCCAAGGCTAGTTTTTGAAACCACACCATGAATCCTGTCTGAACTGACAGAAAAAAAATATATATTAGCAAGAATTGAAATATTTCTCAGGTTAATCACATCGCCATCTTGCTCCAGTTCTCATGCTAGGGACTGTGACACAGGCTCAACCCTTCCAGCCTTCATTCGGAGAGGACGAGCCCAGAAGAGGATCCGACAACGAAGCAGGAATGCTACCCTAGAAATTCTCTACTAACCCCTGTCCAGTTTGAGGATGGAAGCAAGGCATTCGGGATGGACGTTTTAATAAAAACGGTTGGCTGGGATCCTATGCTCTTTATTGCTTTATAGTGTAGTCATCGCATTTAGCCACTGACCGGCCTTTGTAGCGGTGCTCTTTCTAAAGCTCATCCCTTAACACGTCCTCTGCAAACACTAGGCTTAGGTCTGGCCTCCTTGCCAATCTCTGTTGAAAGGTCTGTGGTACAGCTGGGACCACATCTAAGCCTTTTTTGGGGGGAGGGGGTCCTGGGTCTTGCTTCATAATAATATTTTACTTGTAAGAATTTAAAAAAAAAATCAAAAATCGCTGCGGCTAGTGGTGTCATTACTGTGTTCACAAGGAAAGATGAAATGAAGGCCTCATGGCCACAGCCAACTCCACATGTCGGGATGCGCAGGGTGGAGGGGAGCCTTGCCAGGTCTCCCTGGAGGCTCACAACTTGCCTATTCCGAATCAAGAATCCCTGTAAATCCCTGAATACTTTAAAATGAAATGAAATGTGAAAAAAAGAAGGGGCTATGCTTCTCTTGATGCATTCCTGTGACCGTTCTGAACAGAAAGCCCTCGACCTGGATGATAAGTGCCCGTATTTCTATTCCCTTCGCTGCTCCCAAGGGGGAGGTAAAATGTGGAGCCGTCTACACAGCACACATGGGCTTGTGGGCGGGGGGAGTTGAGATCAATCTCCAAAAACCAGCTTGATTTCCTGTACGCAGACACGTCTTGCTTTTCTTTGAAAACAATGGCCATTTCCTGTCCCCCAGGGTGGTTTGCATTCAGGGAGCTTTCTCAATTTGTGTTCAGGCAAAGTCATGGAAATATGATATTTTTTTTTTTTCAAGACAAATCTTGAAATTCCTAAGTGGTTTTGAGAACTGGGCTCCAAGGAAACGTTAGCTTAAACGAGACTATGGAAAGTCCATGTGATCTCTAAGCTCTATGTATACAGCAGAGTAGCCCACAGTTAATAAGCATGTTGCTTTTTGGCT